GGGGGGGGGACGTCATTACTATCGTGTCCAGCAAAACTGTGCATGACAATTTCTTTCACATCGACTTGTAATAGATATATACTGTTTTATGCTCATTTACGAGAATCTCAAGTGAGAACGGACTCATACATAGTTCTGAATCTTGGATTTCGACGGAGATTTGAGTTCAAAGCCCAGAATTTGATATAAAAGAAGACTAAATATTGCCTACCTGTCACCCCCGTCGCAATCTTCGTCCATATTGTTAGTAGCACGAATAATCGCCAGTGCAATGGGAATCATCAAAGCGGTACAGGCAGTATCAGCAAAGAAACACGAGCTGGAATGGATCTTTAGAAAACCCAGAGTCGTGGATAGGATATTTGGTACCACCCACTGCTAGCTAAGAAATCGGGAGGTAGGTAAACCTTGAAATCAGCCATTCCATTTTACTATTACCATTTTTATTAATATATATGATTTTTTTAGCGGAAAGACTACTGCCTCCTACTGTCCCAGCGCTTCTATCAGAATTGGTAAAGCTTCAGCTGACTATCAAAGTCATTTAAGAAAGGTCGCTTTTGAATTTTTTTAATTCACGTTGTATGTCTCAACATTCCTTTTGAAAAAAAGTTTGAAATCAGGAAGAATGATTTAACTTACAGGAGTGCTGTCGTACACATGAACCCCAGTAGCATCCTGAAATTGACAACTACGATAACAGTGAGTTAGTAAAAGTTCATGGTGCAATTTCTTACGTCTGTTTCCTCGTGCCGACTTTACAGAGCAGCTTCAGAGCGATTCGTCGATGAAGACCTGTTTCTTCCACTGCCAGAGTCATCGTCATTATACAGATAAACAGTACAATGGAATCCTTAATACATGCGGACCTTGAGTATTGAACGTTGGATGCCAAGCTTTTTCGCAGCGACTGCTTGGACTATGGTCGACTTTTTCTTGAACTTGGCATAAGCTAGAGTTGTGATTGTGATGACTTCAGCTTTCCCAAGATATTCAATTTCGTTGAATTGACGCTTCGGCCTCTTCACCTTCTTCGGAGCTTGAAAGTCGAAAAATCTTCTGAGATTGTTCCCCACGTAAGATCAACAATACTGTCTGGCCTTATGTGAAGATCAATCTCAATAGGTTTTTCGAATTCCACGCTCTGAATATTTCATAATTATTTCCAATTTATATAATGCACTTATTGATTGGAGTAAATGATCAATATGGTAAGGTCAATTACCTTGAAGTAGACAAGACATATTTTTCTTGCTGATTCGATACCAAGAATAGGGAATAGAAANTTTTTCGAATTCCACGCTCTGAATATTTCATAATTATTTCCAATTTGTGTAATGTACTTATTGATTATAATAAATGATCAATATGGTAAGGTCAATTACCTTGAAGTAGACAAGACATATTTTTCTTGCTGATTCGATACCAAGAATAGGGAATAGAAAAATTGGCATCAGAGAGGTGACTCCGATAGGAACCACCTCAACAATCCAATATATACTCAACACCAGGATACAGAATGCGCAACGAAATGGCTGAAAATGTTCGATTAGGAGGAGAGCCTTTGGAACTTGTTCTAATGTAAGCTTTGGCCCAGTTATGGCCCAACTGGTTCCAATAAAGAGATGAATCTTAAGGTTTTCGTTTCTTGAAATTCAGTGACTGTGTTCTGAAAAAATTCAGCTTTTGAACCCCTGGAAGCAAAGGTTCAAAGGTTACTTTGGGTAATGCCATCATTTATACTTACAGGTATGTACCGTCAGGGAGTCGCGGGCGGAACAAGACAATCGGTTCCCGCTAACTATAACTCTTCACAGTAGCCTACAGTAGCTTCAGTACCTAATTCCCACAAGACTACCTCTCTGCAGTTTAAAATAACTGAACTTCATGGAACTTACGAGTCCAAAAAATAAAAAAGGTGAGAAGACCAGCGGAGTACCGATGATCCACGACCAACGATAAATTGATGAAGAAACAGCCATCGGTGATTAATATAGGTTAAACTCTGAAAAAAAGGGGTGTAAAGTAGAGTGAAGTGATAGCAATAGCTTTTAGGTGAGCAAAAGTTCATCAAAACGAGTCATATTTGAGCCAATGCTCTTCAGGGACTGATATCGCCATGAATCACCTGCTTATCAATGCACTATATTATTTTGTGAATGCTTTAATATTCTGATGGGCAGAGTTCTTTATCGATTGGTTGTCCTCCAACACACTGCTACTAACCACCAAGTTCTTTCTCAAAATAAAGTCCATTGATACTCTATGATGGCTGTTCACTCAAATATGAGTGAAGGTAGTGGTCCTTCGCCACTACAGGTGACGCTTTTTTCGGTTTTGTTATGGGCAAAACAGTTGCAGATAGAAATGGTCAATGGTAGAAAAAACAAACAGACAAAGCAAGAAAGAAACCCCGAACCATGTTGTTGGGCAAAGTAACGATAAAGTGAATGAATGCAGCAATGACCATAAGAATCGGTGAAAACCTAGACAGAACAAAACATCACTGAACTGCCGTTTGTGACAACGATGTCAGAACCGTTGCCTCTAAGAGAGGGTCAAATTTACAAAGGGAGAAGAAGCAAAAAGATATCTAAAGGACAGATGTGAATATGCTTAGCAGAAACCATTCATTCAGTAAGTGTTGCTCAAGAGCCCTTGGGAGAAAATGCATCTTCTGTAAAGAAATGGAGGCCGCCGCCCTAAAGGCAGCGTTTACGATAAATTTAGGGTACCCTTTTTTGACGGGAATTCATAGAACTACTCTAGAATAAAGCGATAACAACGAAAGAAGCGCAAAAAACGATGAACAAAAAGAAATAGAAAGGGTCAAAAAAGAGCTGGAAAGGGGGGTTGGACGAGTTTCACATTGGAAGAACGGCGGTTAAGGGAGTGTTCGGGCGAGTGCAGGAAGGCGACGGAATGTCTGCAATGGCAGACAACACACCCAAGCAGACACATCGCTCCAATGCGAATGTGGTGAAGGACAATTAGAACTCGTAGTCAGCCTAGCGAGGGGCGGAGGCCTCCCGTCCCCCACTGTTGCTGCCCTTATTGTGCCCTATCCAGACAGTTTTCCGACCTCATTCCTGCACAAATGGTATCAGAGGNGGCGTCGAATTCAAACCATGTGCAGATCTCCGAAACCATTTTTCCGTGAACAGTGCCTTTAAGGAAGGAGCAGTTATTGGTCATGTCAAGGAAACTTCATACAGTGCAGAAAAGGAGGGAAAGTAAAGCAAGTAATAGAACCAAACCACAACAAGCTGGGGAGAACCATGCGTTCCTTGTTGGGATGTAGAGACTACGTGAAAAGTGCATGGAGCTACAAAAGATGAGCATTGTAAGGATCTGAAAGCAATGATGGGAGAGAAGAAGCTGCACGCGATGTACTCGTAGTGGAAGCGCCGAGTGAAAGTGGATAAACCATCTGCGATGGCCTTGAAAGTACAAATAGACCAGTCCTGGCTCCACCCTGTCAACCTCCTTTTGAGGTGAACAACTTGAAATTTCATAGCTTTCTCTCGACGGAACCAGTTCTATTTAATTAAACCTCTAGGCAATTCGCCTTTCGAAGACGAGTTCCTTTTTCACAAGTAGGATAAAGGCATTTCGAATTGTCACTATGTCATATAAAGTGATCTAATCAAGGGGTGGGTTTGAAGGAAGCTCGAGAATTCTTGTGAAACGTAGTATTTGCATTCGACTTTGAGAAATAAGGCGCTTACTAGAACAAACCTCTCAATGGTAAGCTATGGAGCTACTCGAAGAACTCAGCAAACGAGTGGAGTGCGTGTCAAGATTGGGAGCGACAAGTTTCACTAGAAGCGTCAGAAAGTGTTTATAGTTTGAGGAATTATACATCAGTTGAAGAATTGATACTGACGATGAAGTTAGATAGCTCGTCACATTTTCGGTGGGTTTGAACTATTTATAACCACTTCGAGGGTGGAGGTGGTGTAGTGGCAAGCAGCGCTCCATCACACCACATGGTCTCCGGCCTAGGCCAAACAAGCCTTCCATCCCTCGGGAGTTGGTGAACTGGTGCCCCGTCTGGGAAGATAAAAGAGCTGGCTTGTACATCGGCTGGCCACCGCAGGTTACTGTATAGGACAAATATGCATTCAATCTGCACCTACGATTCTGAATAGAAGTCGAATGTGGAGCGCATCCCTCAGACGAGATTGATTAACGCCGACGCTTCAAGACATCTATTTTCAGTTTAGTAAGCACATATTTTCTAGTTGCAACCAAGCAACACACAAAGAAAAATACGGGGACTTTTGCAGAGTACGTCGGCTTCCTGGCATCATGGTCATTGATGGCACAAAACCGAGAATTCTTAGAGTGGGTACAGTTTGATAGAGGTTCGTATGAAGTGTCTTGACAGTCGTGCACCAATTAATCCGTGAATGACGTATCAACATTTAGCCTATGCGAAGTTCGCTCCAGAAAAAGACTCTCGTAGAGTGCCTCACCATTAAACGTTGTGCCACCATCATCCCTTTCTTGAATATCTTAGAACTGATACACAACTGAGGTGAATGTAGATCCTCTACCAGCTGCCCACACTTTAGTCTTAAGTCAGATTGGAGTAGCCTAATGTTACGTTGTTCTGAACGCTTGGTAAGTCCAGTGTAACGAAGTAGTAAAAGTAGTCTCAGTGCCAATCTCTTTTTCCAAAAGCGGAATCTACAAGACATACAGAATGTCACATCCCCCTTCCCTCTTTCTAAGGGGTGGTTCCTAAGCAGGAACTGTGAGTGATTCACCTATGACAGTTGACAGATATCTCAAAACGAGTGGTGGTTTCTTCTCATTTCGAGGCAATTATCAACTGAATAGGAAGAACTCGTCAAACATATGCGTAATATGTTTTACAGCCCTTTGTGGACATAAACTTTATACAAAGTTGAAAGATGTAGTAATCCGAGTCCGAAGTAAAGGGCATTAAAGGTTCAAAATGAATACACAGACGTTATCATTTCATACGATCCTGATTGTAGAAGTAGTAAAACAGTTATTGATTACCCCACTGAAGTGAAAAACTGAATTCAAACACTGGACTGAACGAGAGAAATGAAATTTCTAGGACTCTACACAGCAAACGATCTAAAGATGAGGGTAAGGGGCACGTTATCAAAGTCACAAAAAACCAACCCGTATCATGCGGTCAACAGATAATAAGGCAAAACAAATAGATGAGACCAGTAAATAATATCTGATCAAAGAAACTGTTAGCATGAAGTGGTGCAACGGTGCAAAAATTACTGTGAAATTCTTCACGCAGGGGTTTCATTACTATAAAACCTCCTACACTAAAAAGGTATAATGCTTCTGCATGTTTTTCACTTGGGTGACTTAATTTTGTTTGTGAATTAATTGACATATTCGATTGCTTTGGTTTGTAGCACTGATCTTCGGAGGGTTTCAAACAGAACACCAGGACTTCTTCATGATTGCTACCGATCAACCGAGACGGGATGGATGAAAGTCTCGACCAGATCTCTTCATGATTCCTACCGACTGACCGAGACGGGAGGGATCAAAGTCTCTGTTGACGAATAGATGGAAGTTCCAGTACCGGACCATGCAAATGGGGAGCTACGGTACTTGCCGCCACACCTGCTCCACTTTGAAGGAACACTCTACGATAAAAATGATTCTCTAGCTTATCTATTAGGCGGATCTATGGCCACCGAGTAGTCACATCACATGTGACGTACCTGGGGGCCAGAGATCCGTGATCCATGTGACATAACTGTGGCGTTATCAAAAAACGGCCCAAAGCGAGTTCGAGAAGGGCTCAAACTGCGAGGCTCCGATCTACAGCGGCAGTAGACAGGAAATTTTCAGATTTTTCCTTTTATCCTCTGAGGATAAAAGCACTGATTGGTACATCGGCTGACCATAGCAAGTCATTATGGGGCCATTATGGGGCATAGCAAGTCATTATGGGGCCAGCTCTATGATTTTGAGTGGAGGTCGAACGCAGAGGCGTAGCCTACATACGGGCTGGTGGCCGTCGCAGATACTAACACATTCTCACAATCGTTCATCAGAAAGCATAGCTTGTCGCGAAAAAAGCCATCAAATAGCTCTACACAGATTAATCAACCCTCCATATTTCAATTGAAGACTCCTTTAACGACCATCGAAATGGAGTACGATAATGAAATCAAGATTGTTTAATTTTTTGTTGATTCCAAGCGCTCAAAACCTAAACGATTTCGCAGTCTGAACCACATTTTGGGCCAATTTCGCTGCGTTTGATAAATTTTTGAGGAAGGGCTATCGCTTTGGAAACTACATTCAGTTTATGATTGAAATATTTATTATTGGGAGACTATAGTCAATATTTGTATACAAATCATCAACCGGGGAAGCAATCTAAAAATTATTTACTTATCAAATTCATACAAAAATTCATTAGCTTACTCCGAAAAGATTACTATGTAATTCAAAATCATTACTGAGTTTATTTGCGAAGGGAAAGACTTTAATATACAAAAAGTTACTTCGAGCTATCCAGCTTACGCAGCAAAGCAGGAATTTCATTGATCAGATCACCGGTTATCATCGACCTGCCAATTGCTGTATAGGCAGCCTTTCCACAAAGGCGAACCAGCTGGCTAGATGCCAAACCGGCCTCTAGCTTCGCATCATCTATGGAAGTTAATCTGAAGATGTGATAGTTCAAAGATTTTTTCGCCATCACAAGAAAACAATGGATAACCTCGACGCCCAAAGTAAAAACATTGCCAGTGTTCCACTGGTCACGTCTCCTTGACCACCGCATCTTCTCGGGCATCCTTCTTCATCTCCAATCACAACTAAATACGCCATTAGAGAAGGATTTCCTTTGACGACCAACAAACATGCATATTACATGGTGTAAGAGTCGCAGTGGCTCCCGGTAAGACATACGTATAATACAATGAATGTAGGCTGGCAGATGCCCAAAATATTGTGTTTACCCTTCCCAAACAATCATCGGTAGCAATCAGTCTGCTCAATGAATCGAGGCTTGCTTGGCCTAGGTGGATATCGGTCCGGGATCCGAGACCCTGATCATACCGCTCTTTAGCTCCAACCTGCCCTCGCCCAGAGAACGAAACACCTAGCTTTCATTATTTAGATCATTTTCTGAAATAAGACAATGCTCTTTCGCGAATATGATTACAGCGCCATGCAAATATCATCCCGAACGTGGCAGCGACTGCGTCGCGACTGGATGGACATGTTGCCGTTCAACCAATGTGCGAAGTACAAGTCATCCCAAAGAACAATATAATTCTAAGACATACCTTTACCACCCGGATTGGTTATAATATCGACCCGCCCCTTCACAAACAAAGTTGTTCCAATTTGTTTGCTCAAGCGAGAGGCCATCGCTTGTAACTGAGCCTGGTCCTGAAAAAGTTGCATAAGTCAAAAAACACAGAAGAAAGGAAGTAGAATTATCTCGTGTTAGCCCTCCTCTTCACTTGAATGCGTACGACCAAGTTGATGACTTATGTATAAGCAGCCGGGTGGTCCGTCTCACGCCAGACTTTCCCTCATTTCTTGTTCAAGTTGGCCTTCGTGAACGCTCCACCCACCGTGGGCGAAGTTCTGCTCAGTCTTGTATATTTGAGTGGATTTTTCATTCTCCACTTTCCAATGTAGATGAGCAGTTTTCTCTGAGTGCTTTTACTCTACCCACCTCGATCTCCTCCCCCGCCGCCTCTTGAAGGCGGAATCCAGTCATGTCACCTACGATCCGTGGTCCCTTCGCGTCGCGTGCACCCCCTCTAAAATTGAATATTTGGGCCCAGGGAACAGGAGTTATGAATTTCCGGTCAAACACCACACATCTTCGACACACATACACACCGTCACATACACACAACACACATTTATTCCACTGACACACACAAACACACACACCAACACAACCGATACTCTTACCGACATACACCGCCGCCAAACCAAGAGACACACTTAGTGGGTTACATATAGTAAGACAACTTGCTGACAGTCCAGTCTCAGTTGAGTCCGAAAATGCAAAACACAAACATAGTGGAAGGAAGTAAAACTCACCGTCATCTCTAGTACATTATGCACATCCAAAGCAGCTTCGCACATTCTTGAAAATTCAACGTGGTTTGGTGTAAAAATTGCAGAAGGTAAGGCTGGCACATTACGTATTGACTCTTTGATGAACCATAATCCATCCTTAAATAAATACGAATCTTTAGAACGTTCAGTAATGAAACACGAACCTATTACTCCTCACCCCTAGTTCCGTATCCAGTAAACAAGAGAATAAAATATTCAGAGCAAATATCTTTTTCAGACAAAGCAATTTCGAGCTTTCACTAGTTTTCAAAACCTCATGAATAGCAGTAGTCATAGAGAAAGTGAATCATAATTTTTTTTAAATGTTTTGCCTTTGCCTAGTGTCCCCAATCTTCTCAGCTTTTTAACTTTCACTCGCTTGATAGCGGCATGCAGACAACATGTTAAAGACCTAATCTTCACAACTAATTAAGATCGCTCGGCACCGACGAACGGCAAGGTGTCAATCCCACAGAGGTTGGCATACCCCTAAACCACGACTCAACACTATCAGTGAATGCAAACCAAGCTAGGCCAGGGAGAGTAGCTAACCAGCAGCGTTCTCGAAGAAACATTAACTAGTAAGCATGTAGCATTAGTATACATACATTACCACACTATGGTTCATCGCGGAAAACTCCTTCTTACAACTAGTAATCACCCTAGAATGGCACTATAACGAAAATTCAGTCCGGCACTCGGCTCCTACAGTAACCCCCTGGCTTACCCCACCACCCACCCCGTCTCCTCCCCGTGTCCTTGCCCAAAGCCACTTTTCGACGCGTCGTATATGTGACGGGTAAAAATTTGCGTGTTAACACGTGCCGGATTACTGTAAGAGCCGAGTGCCGGACTGAATTTTCGTTCCTGTTAGAATAGCATGCTCTAACGCGCTACGCAACGGCCAATTCATAAGCAAAGACCAAATCTCAGTGAAAAGGTTAGCAATGTCCAACTGCCGCAAAGCACCCGCTCACTTGTTTCACTCACTTTGTCCTTCAAGTTCTTCTATCGGGACCTTATAAATGAAATCCAATCTGGGTGAAAACGTAGTTGGGGGGTGCCGCGCCCTTTTGTTTGCGTGACTACTTGAACATGCTCTGCGTCCCTAACAGCGGAAGGTTAGAGTGCAGAGAAGAGTATCTCGGGTGAAGGACACTTTGTTGGTGGTGGGGGTCCCATGGATCAGACGAGCACGGCGTTGAAGAGTGCAGTTGAATGGGAGTGCGACAGAGGAGAGCAGAAAAATGGCCGCAGTCGCAGGCCAGCACCGCCCTTTTGTGCTCTGCGCCTCTCAGACTGCAGAGTGCTTAGAGACCGCGCTAGAGTGCAGAAATGGTTTCCTCCCTTTCTTAAAGTTGGTGGGGATGAAGCATCGGGATGGGTAAGCCAATTGGATGTTCAATTCTTATCCAATCGCAGCTTTCTGTTCGAGTTAATCATTTCTCCACCCTGGAGCTCCTTTCCTAACTTTTAGAAAGGGAGCGGCCATCTCTGCGCTCTAGCGCGGTCTCTATGCACCCTGCCACCCAGCGTCAGGTCAGAGACGCAGAGCACAAAAGGGCACTGGCACCCCCCAACTACATTTCCACCCCAATCTGAACGCCGTGGCACCCCCCAACTACATTTTCACCTTAATCTGAACTAATGGCTGAACGACTCCTGTCTCTTCGAGGATTCACATTAATTTCAACTTGGCCAGAGCTGGCGTCCAAATCGAGGGAAGAATTCGACGAGTGGTTGGCGGATTGTGGTCTACTATGGAAGAAGCGATCCTGTCCGAACTGTGGAGAAACATGCACTCTCACGAAACAGGGTAAGATGAATCAGGAATCTGTGCGATTGAAGTTTGAATGTTTCAGACAGCAGTGTCGCCAGCCAGGGATTCCTCGTAAAATCGGATACCTGAAGGATACCTTTTTCGAGGGTTTGCGAGTAGACCGCAAAAAAATCTTTTTGGCAAGCTATCTCTTTGCGTACGACTTGGGAACTGTTAAGGAGATGGCCCGAACGCTGGAGGTTAGTGAAAGTAGCATTGTTCAGTGGACGCAATGGTTCCGTGAAGTGCTCGTTGAATACTACACCAACAATGTAAGCAAGATCGGTGGACCCAATACGGTGGTGCAGGTGGACGAAACATGCATAGTTCGGCGCGTAGGCGGCATCGAACGTAAGGAGTGGCTCATCGGAGGTATTCAGGATGGGACGAAGTTGGTATTCATGGAAATAATTGGTGATCACAGCAGTGCAACGCTGCACGCTATTATTCAGAAGCACGTCCTACCTGGAGGCATCGTGCGGACAGAAAAGTGGGAAGATTACGGTGATCTGTCCTACTTAGGATACCACCATGAAACGGTGAATCACTCGGAAAATGTCGTGGATCCTGACAGTGGAGTGCACACACAGCGCACTGAAAACTTCTGGAATCACTTGAAAGCGAAAATCCGTTCGCGTCATGGACTGAAAGGAGAATTATGGGACGACTATTTCTTTGAAGTACTATGGAAATGGCAGTTCAACAGCGAAGATCTTCTCTATGAACTTTGGAAGATGATTGCAGCGAGGCACCCCATCTCTTGAAGACTTCCATGTATATAAATTGCTTATTAAACTGTAAATATAAATTGTTCATTGAAGATATATTCTGTTTCATTTCGAATTTTGCACAACGTTTACATCTCACCCACCCCGATGCTCCTCCTTTCTTTAGGCTTTACTAAATAATACNTTCCCTAGCTCTTTAAAGAGGTCTGCGAGGCTGGAAACCAACTCCACGCTCTAGCTTGTCTCTACGCACTCTGCCAAATTTTACATTTCCGGTGCTAGACCTCATAGCTTAGGACGAGATTGAAATTTGGAGAAAGAGATGGCAGAAAAATATGAAATATTACTCACTGCGTCGACCACAAACGGCACGTCGGTACGCTTAACAAAATCAAGAACGCTCGTTACCAGGGGCATTAGACGATCATTTCTTCCCAAGCCAGGTCCAAAAACAATTGCGTCCATGCGTTCGAGCTTCTGAACATTCGATACTTTAGCCAATTATATGAATTGGCGGATTTAGTAAGTAATGTTTCTAAATTTCTTCGTGTAGCACATACTGGAAGAACATTTTCTGGTTCAAGTCCAGGATGAACAATGAGCTCAGGAGAAAACGTTTTGATGACAGGAGCAGCTTCGGGAGCACAAATAACATGAACCAAATCAGCACCCTAAACGTTGTATTTCACAAAATAAACATGCGAACAAAGAGAATTGGCTAAAATGCGACTATTCGATGTTTGATTAGAGTTAATGAGGCCAGAGAGCTTCCTAATTCGGCAACAGATCACGTCCCCTTTGTGGACGGCAGTGTTGTCAAGTGGTGAATGTGGGTGTGGGAACTTCTGTACGATTAAGATCACTTCGCATCTCGGGGCGAGGCGATCTAAGTATAGAAGCTCATTATTTCCATGCTTCTCGCATACAGATGTGGAGCTTCAAAAGTTATTGATTGAATAGAAGAAAAACAGTGAGAAAGTAAAAATGATAGAGAAATAAGGATTCCACTAAAAAAAACTTCTCTAGTACTGGCTAAGGGTTTTGGTTTTGCACCCAGTAAAATTGAAGTTGATAGTTTTATAAAAATGAGCTAATATTCCGTTTTGCTTCCCAGTCTACCTTTAACGTGTGCACAAGAACAGAATTCTCCACCAACATAATTGAAATTTTTCAGTTGAAATCATAATTTTTCTCAATTCGCGCCACTTCGTCACTGTTTTTATTCTCTTTAGTTATTTACCTTCTACCCCCTAAATAATGGTGTGCAGACAGCGTAAGCATCATAGAGGCTTCACACCAAATCGAGATTGGCTCGCAAAGTGACCGCAGTCTGCAGAAGTTCGCCTACCCACTGAATTTAATACAGTGCCAGTAGCACGGGTTGAGCAAGAACTACGAAAGGTAGTTGGTCAAATAGTCCATACCCGAATCCATAGTACATTAAGTTATCTTAGCTAGCTGGTGGCCTAAATTTGAAGAAAAAGTCCAGAAACGTCACTCACCAATCTCAAGGCAGAAATTGCAGCGAAAAAAGGGGCTCCAGTGTACTCAATTGAACCACCAATCACAGCAATCTTTCCGCATTGCCCCTAAAAAATTAATCTTCAAAAAATGAACTCAACTGTGTGTACTCCACAATACTCCAGAAACCTTTTAAAACCCATCTGATGGTAATTTACGCTTGCGATGGCAAAGGAGGTTTAAAGAGATTGCCCACTGCTTATGTCTATAGACATAGATTTTTCGAAAGCCTTGACCATAATACGAGTTTATTCTGGCGGAACGCAGCCCATTTATGTTCTTCTTTCTTGGTTAAGGGTACGCAAATATAATCGAAATATCATCTCACTCTGCCAAGACTCGTTGCCAGCCGAGTATAGTTAGTTCCGAAGGAAATTTTCCGAACTTTTTCTGATCCTACAACTCTAGAAACCTTTTTGAGACCATTCCATCGCTGTACTTTCTATTGGTGTTTTCGTTCCTGAAGATTGAGGTAGGTAAGGTTACCCGCCCTGTCAAGGTGCCACTTGGTTCAGTGACAGTAGTGAGACATTCTTGCTGGGCAGCACTCTCGCGAGAATGCTCATTGCCCCTAGTTCTAATTAAATTTACAAAGTGTCTAGCCTAATTCGAGACATAGACACTATTGAAAAGCCTATTATTGAACTATATAAAGGTTTAAATAAGTTTTCGAGGCTCCCAAAAGTGTGGCGCATGAAAAGATGGCTTTAGATTGAGAGTTGGGAAAATGTGCATCGTACGCTGTCATAATGATCCCCGACAACAGCCCAAACACATCCTGCGATGTATGAACAAGTCTCACAACCCATTCGTCTTAACGATGGGTCTTAAACCGAGATACCACTAGACCTCTAGTGACTGTAATGTTGAATGCAGTTCAATCAAAACAATCAAACCACCTTTCTTAGATTATTTCCGAGCACCGGCAATAGCTTTCGTATATGGGCCATCTGAAAAGTTATCTTAATGGCATGTTCATAGAATAAGAGCTACGATATCCCAATGTTCAGACACGATGCCGGATTACTCAAACAACTGTCATTGATACTATCGTAGCTGAAGATGTATGTACATTTATTTGCCACGTATTTTGTGCATATTCTACAACATGTCAACAAATTTACATCTCTTCCTATAGGTAGTACTATTATAATCACCGATTCATGCGTAGACTGTAACTAATCAAACACTGTACATCATGAAAAAAATTAGCAGAGACAACCAGAGTTCGACACCGGAATCTGTACCAACACGTAACAAGTAACCAATAAATATGACGAAGGAGCAGAAAACTGCTCTCTTAAGCACACTCAATCGTCCATCAAAAGAATTGGCAGCTACCCTTCGACATGACTAAGAACAGGGGGTTGAATGACTAAGCGAAAATTGTCTATCTCTACATATTTACAGATGGAGAATTTCGAGATTGGTCTTTCTGTTGAACCATTTGGAGCAAAAGTTGAGCTCTTTCATAGATAAGCCGAGTGTGATTCGTTATGCTGAAGTTGAAGAATTGTAATCAGAGGTAAAGACTGACTAACCCAAAACTTACTTTGACGCTCGCTTATAATACTGTAAGGCTTTCTTGAAACTGTTCTCATCCAAATTGCTGCTAGCTTGCAGGCGTTCCATGCAGTTCTAGAGTAGGAAAATTAAAAAAGGAGAAGTTACGTTGCAATGCTCTACGTTTCGTTCCACATCACCTTCCCGGCCCCCTAATTTGAACACGACACAAACTATGCAGAACGATTACCTATTACAGTTCTAATTCCTACTCTGAAACAGAATCTATCGAAGTACCTTGAGTTCTTGAAACGGCCTTTCTATATCACTGATGCAGTCATCTATGATATTGCCATATCTTGCCAGTTCCACCCTCATATCTACTGTGAACCTGGAGACATAAAGAGCGATCATGACAGAATGTAAAGCTCTTCTATACTAGAATTACCTTGCGACACGAAGTAAAACTCGAACGATGGATTTTTGTGACTTGTTACAAAGCTGAGCCGCCAATTCCGCTCTTCTTGCAACACATTTGTTAGCAAGTCTTATTTCATATTCGCAAGCAGCAGAAGAATGAGGATCATCACTGAGCATTGCGTTCAAATCATCTAGACCAAAAGATGTCATTTGTGAAAAAAAAAATTAACGAAAGAAATGTCTCACCCTCGAGTCCAGGCTCTTCAACTGTTTGGAGCTCCACGGCATTTAGTTCAGACAAATGTTCAGCTGTGATAGTCAATGATTGGTTGATAAAATCTATAAGATTAATCCTCAATCAACCGAATAATAAAGAAAAAACAAGTGAGCAGGATACACTAATGTAAAACTAATTTGCGTTTGAAATACCACATACTTGTACAAGTTTCCAGTGCCTTTGCAGCACTATCGGCGAGCTCACAAATTCGATCCATGACAGCCTATAAGAAAAAAATTTACTCAAACAACGATCATAATCACATCGTTTGGATCTTTGCGATTGCCAAGGTCCAACGTGGATATTGTTAGAATTGCAGCAGCTATGAAACGACGTTATGATATGTGTATGACCTTAATGAGCCGCAATAGAGAAATTCAAGAAAAAACGCTCTAAACATTGAAGACCTATAAAATCTAAAGTGATAGCACCTATGAAGGTATTCCGAGAGCCCCAAATTTCAGACCTTGTTTCAAGGGTTTCACACAAATTTCTAAAGTTTTGCTTTTTGGTGGACTAATTAACTATTTCACCCCCACTTTTACTTTTAAGATGATTTAAGGCAGACGATAATTACTCCTTGACTTACAGTCGCCAGTAGCACCAAAAGGAACTCTGAGATCTTACCTTATCCGTGTCATTCTCAACAAAGGGCATTAGAGCAAACGAGTGCATCTTAGCGTGTATTGTGAAACGCATTGGCATCACCGTTTTCTCGCGTACACTTTCCAGTTCAATTTTTAACTAAAATGGGTATCAAATGACCAGCTCTACAAGAAATTATGAGTAATTATGAGAAGTCTGTAAGACTCGATGAAAAAAGCAAACAATGGACTCACTCTTTCAAGCTGATTTCGGAGAATATTTCGAGAATTTTCCACTACTTCCATTAGTTTTTCACAGTCGCGAAGGGCCTCACCTGCTTGAGCTAGGATGCTCATTCTATTGTTAGGCGGATTTCCTCCTTGGTTAACCGTACCTGTAAAGGACCTAGTGGGGCCACATAACGAGGATTTCACGAAGCTGTGATCACTAACCTCCAACGTCTTCGATTGTTAGCCCCCACTGTTTAGGAGACCATGGAATATCAGTGAGCAAAGGAAACAGTATGGGCGGTGAGTGACGAGAGTAATTTGCGTCCAAACACTTGGAAGTGAAGACTGCCAACTGATTTTCATAGATCAAGCGGTATTCGACGAATGGTTTCAGTCCCAGCTCATCCTTTAATTGCGGGTACCCTGCACTGCAACAAAACCAATAAGAACCACTCTGGTTTCGATAAGAAAAATCCTCCAAAATGAAGCAAAAGATATAAAAAACCAAAAACTGCCCTCACCTGAATGCAGAAACATTGCTCAAATTACAGTAGCTGTAGATCTCCATAGACTCGATAGAGAAAAATCGCTTTTCAGTAGAAGTTACCAGAGAATTTACCATTTCACTCAAAGCCTCTAACGACCGATTAGGACTGAACAGCATCGCGACCATTTTTGTAAGACAGTGACAGAACCACCTGAAGCTTTTAGAGTTTGAAGCTGGAAGCAACGTGTCTCTATTATCGGACAAAGCGAACACCATCCAATAAAGAGTGTTCTGTGCACATAGTACAAAACCATTTTTGAAAGCTCTGCCACCCCATCCTAAAATCACCGCGTTCTACCCTTGCTTTCTCAAATGACTTTAAGCTAGGGTCATTTGGAGCTCAAATGCCTCTGCCAGATCAGTGATGGAACTCTAAGCGAGTATTTGTAAAAAATATTGAGTGTTTACAGTAGACATTCACAACACATCACAGCTGTGAACCTACTTTGGATGGACTGGATTCTCGATTTTGAAACCGTATTTGTACACGTATCTGTTGATACCGCAGCACACTCGCTCAGCTGATATCGCTCCTATAAGCAAGGAAAAGAGATGGAGTTATAATATAAGAATGAAGACACAACGGCCTAATGAAGCAGTCAAGAGCTCCAGTAAACCGAGATTAGTACTTACCTTCTGGACGGATTCCTTCAGCTACAGCCTGGGCGTAGACGGTTGAATCTTTCGCGTCAATAGGGAATGGGAATGCTCCTGTAGCAACGTAATACAGCGTACAACCAAAAGACCATAAATCACACTGTTCTCTAGTATAGTTATCATTCGTCCTGGTTCGCCGTTGAGCATAGGCAACTGCCAATTCAGGACACTAAAAACAAATACAAAAATTCACAAGTAGGAATCATCTTACCGTATTCTCCCTCTCTTGTCTCTATAGAAATCAACAAAAAAAAACCCTACCAAAGCATTGGGAGTTCCCACGAGCGTTTGCATTACTCCATCTTCGTGCACAAAACTTGACACACCCATATCACAAAACTTGAATAAATATTGCGATCTAAAACAAAAAGGCTTGAATGAAATTTAAGGTAGGGTAGTAATTTTCCAAAAAAGCCTAAAAGAAGCGTTACCTTCTGCCCTTGGTCGATCCAGGGAAGACAAGGATATTAAGATGTTTGATATCACGATGGGCAATGCCACGCTCCTTCAATGTTGTCAGTGCGGAGACTGAACACTTTAAGCTAGATCAAAGCATCAGCTTTCCCAACAAAGAAAAAACGAGCACACCTGAGTCACAAAGCAGATCAATGATGACTTCTCTGGGGAGTCCTCGCAGATTTCTAACTTGTTTCACCAAACTTTCGAGCGAAAACAAGGCACGTTCCATGGCAAATGAAAAGCGCTCAGGAGAGTGGTCCGTAGCCAGTTTGTGGCGGCTGCCTATGTACTGAAAATGAAACCTATGCGTGTATTTCTACATTAACTTCGTAACTCTTGAAAACTTCGACATTTAATAGTTGCATTCATAACGGTTCGGTGGCGTCGGTAAAGGACACTGACATCGACATTGCCATACAGCTTTAACGTCAATCTCGGCTTATTGGTTATCTCCGCACTGCTACTAATCTTTACACCTAAATCGTCTCTCGAACCCGTCCACAGAGACGGCCTGACTGGGTCATCGATACGAAGCATTGATCGACGGTGACTTCACTTCACAAAGACGCTGACGTCGGTGTCGCCATCGTACTATAAATACATCCAAAGCGCTGACCATCGATCTATATTACGCATGCCGGATTCAACACCTACAGAAGTACCCAAAAGCCTGCTCCTCTTCGCATTTTTCATATCAGCTGGTAGCAGCTAGAGTTGATTGCTCAGCAATTCCGCTCAGTACACTTTGATTCCCATAGAATGAGTTTTTTGTCCCTTCAATTAGGTGCTAATTATTAATGTTAATAATAACAACCTCTTTCAGGCTATGCAATCGACCATACGGACCCGTATGATTCATGATGAGATTCAGCGCCTTTGAGGGGTTCTTCATTTGTAATGCTCGAAATGTAAATGCGGCATGAGTCACAAAACAGCGAAATATTGATCGACGACTGATGCCGCTATCGCTACTGTGAATGCAAGCAGCTATTGCAAGGTATAGGCTTGCTACATGTACGGCCGTCGAACAAAAAACCCTTTTCTCAACATTGATTTCAAAGGGAATCGCCGTCTGGTCACAAAAATTTCCACAGAATAAAAACTTGAGACTTAGAGTTCGTTGTCGAAGCATCTCAACTTCGCAGAAAAGGCTATGAGTTGACAAAAACGCGCAGATATCCATCACTTAGTGATATGGCCTTGCTTAGAAATGATAATAAAATGAACGAAGACTTCTCTAACAGCTTTTAAAAAGGGGCGAACAGAAAAGATTTCATGGTTGATTATGAGGTCGAGAATCCAATCTAAGACAAAAGAGAATGTTCGACAGCATATAACACTCAACCCGTACCTTCACGATATTTGGAGCACCGGCGCATCGACGGTAGAACTCGACCTCTTTTCGAGCGGCACGAATTTCCTTTTCGTCTCTGGCATGCTTAACTGCAACTCTTCGGCCCGATTGAGTTCTCCCCGGATGAATCTGTAGCAAACATGAACTTACGAAGGAGAATCACCCAAACTACATACGAATGGCCAATGAAATATCACTGTTGAACTGTATCAATTTTCCATTATAGCAACAACGAAAGACAACGGACCGAGGATAAAGTTCCAATTTCAAAAGAATTCCTTGAAAATCTTCATAAACCATTCAACAAAACCTACATTCCCGTAGGCGCCAGTTCCTATTTTCTTGCTAAAATCGATGGAATACTCGAGACCATCCCAACATATCATACCTGTCCTGAAAAGCGTCTCAACTCGAACCTGAAAACATCTCAACAAATGTAAATATACAGAACGAACTATGGAATTAATAAAATGTTCGTGTTCCCCTTCGTACATGAATGAAGCTTCATAAAAATTACCTTATCCTTTTATGCAAGGAGGGAGAGGATTTGAAGATATCAAGAGTCACCAAGTTGTAGAAGGGACTGTAAAACTTTCAGTATGTTATGCAAATATTATAGCTTTACACATTAATACGATACATAGTTTTCACATAAAAAGAGAAAATGTTGACATCGAAAAGGATCACATCCTACGTCACTGTCACCGTCGACAATTTCGTCGGTGCAACGACAAAGCATAACACCCTTTGAGAAGCAAAGAACAATTTTAGCAAATCAGTGGTTATCTGGAATTACGTGACATACGTCTCTTTCTTCATAGAAATATTTGCCAAGTCATCATGAACTGTTAACGACGATTGAAATGACACGAGAATCATAACACCCCAACATACAATCTTGGATTTACTCCGATAGTCTCCTTTTTTACTAACATAAGCTTCAAATAAGACGGTCAACTAAGAAGCCGGAATCACTCTAGAAATCTCTGATTACTAGCCTTCTATTTGTGACATGTACAGTTCCGATTCCATAGAAACTTCCATCGTTAAACATTAAGCGCTACGACGGAGTTCAATTGTAACCCGCTCGAACCCTACAACGCTCAAGGTTTTTTTGGGGCTATGTTGGCAAAACATATTCGATCTGGCCTGTTTTAAATCGAGTTCCGTTGGGAGAGGAATACTTATACAATGATGAAAAGTGCCCCTTCCCATCCATTGAAAGCCGCTGAATTTCGTAGATAACAATGGCAACGACAAGAGACGAGACTTTGTGGTACACACGCAGTAAAAACACGAATGATATTGACGAAAGAGCCTGTTACTCCCCAATGAGTCATGGTTAAACTTTTAAAGTGCATCTGGAGAGACAAGAAAAGGACAGAAATATCACACGCCATAAGTGAAGAGAAGGAAGGTGAACAGCAGAACGACTAAGCAAAAAATCTATCGCGAATTAGTTCATCAATCGATCGATACTGCAATAACCTTGATAATCATGCGAGAATGTAGATGACTCATTGAGAAAAAGCGTGACAAATAAGTATGACGACAGCTTATACACCCGCTTCAACTCGGACAATCTGATACGGCTCGAATCAAGTAAGTAATGGGAAAAACCTATCAAGAAGCCTCTCTTTAGTGGCAACTCTTACAATCAGAATGGTACTGATTGTAAGGACTGTGCTGGCACAGTCCTGATACCTGTTGGTTTTGCCTAGCCTGCCTAGCCGTGGGTCAATACCGATAACATGACTGCGACAGCTGAGGCAGCGCAGTGGCTAAAGTCCACACTACGGTAACGCAAAGTCTAAATGCAGCCTTTCTAGAAGCAACTTGATAAAGGGTAGGGACACATTGGTGGAGAGGAATGAACTGCTTTACAGCTTTATTTCCCTCAACCCCATCTTACGATGACTTCTTGAAAACTTCATTGTTCGGTTACGAATTTGGACTACATAGTGAATTGCCGTGTTTAGCCGATGTATAAGACAGTGTTTCTTACCTCCCAGACAAATCTACTATCAATTAAGCGGACCCAAAGAGACTCAAGGTTTGCTTGGCCTGGGCAGATATCGATCCGGTGAACCCCGGATCACGCGTTGGTGATAAAGCGCCATCTGTCATTACACCACCTCCGCTTGGTCAACAACGGCGTATAATCAAATATAGAGAAGGAGGAGGAAAGCATAATGGGCCCTACTAAAATAGAACTGGGAAAGACGGCTGGTAAGAGGCGTCACACACCCCATTCTTCCGGTTGTTGTAGGTTCGAAACTCCATCATAAAGATTACGAATCAATTGGCAGCCGGACTAGATGAGAGCTCCTTGAGCGATATATCAAATAAGTCAAAGAATAAAGAAGTTCGACGACCGAGGCTAAAAATAGTTTCTCATTTTCGCGGACCAATCCACATGTGGACGAGATAGTACCAAAATTATTGTTGGACGAGTTTGTGCACAGAATTGCCTGCAATCTAGCGGTTCCATGTTCTCGCGGGAATTTCCCCCATTTTATTCCATTCATGGTTTCAATTGGCGCTATTTCCATGTTCTCCTAAAGCAAATTCTTCAGGTAGTGAGTTTAATCACCTACTCAATACGAGCGGTTACCATGTCAGGCGCTTGGGATGATAGTGGTGAGTAATAATGAAGTTGGGCCTTACCCCGTTATTTTCAAGTGATTCCATCATCCAGTCGTATTTTAGACAGCGATGGTGACGTTGTTGTTGTTGAGAAGCCGGTAATTCTTCCACGTGCTCGTCAGCCATCTATCGCTAAAAGTCTGGAAAAAGCGGCTATTCTAGAAAGTTCCGTTGCGGGTTCTGTAAAGGAGAGCGATGCGGTAAGGTTTTTCGCTATTGATGTACGAGTTTGAGTTGAATTGAGATCTATTATAACCGCATACCTTGCTGTGTTTGCTGCGAAGGCAGAACTTGCAGAATTTTGAGCTGCACTAAGCTTTCGGAAGTGATTAACACAATTACAGCCCTGCATGCACCGCTCCAAATTTTTTGGGACATTTCTCACTTCAAATTTGAATGGAGTCCTAACTGTAGCTTTAGTTGTGTAGAGCCAGTAGCTCAAACCTTGTTAGAGCATATTGTGGTGTTATTTTCTTCTCTGCAGTTCATGTACCGTAATAAAGTAACGCCATCCAACTTATGTCAAGCTTGTCGGCATACTTGTCAGAAGTGGCATCAATCTCAAAACTATCAGCGCGCGGAAGGCCAATAGTAGGGTACCCGTGCCACTATGTTTTCCTGTACTTTATCGAAAGAAATATTTTCGTTGGTTTCAGTCTTCCGATGATGACAGCGAATCGGTCGGCAGTGTTGCTTCAGAAGAATTTCTGGAGACTGCTGACGAAGTCCTTGTTCTTGACTTTGATACGACAACTAGTATGAAAAAGGTGAGTTAAGAAGTTTCACCGAGAAAGTTGTAACTTTTGTAAGACTTGCTATATCTATGCGAACTTTATCATAACCTTGTATTCTTCGATAATTGCGTATAGAGATTTTTTAGATGATCTCGCAATTCCCTTGCGACTATCGTAATATAATCTCCGAGTTCGCTGATGTCGAAATTTTCGTGATTTCGCTAGATAGTTTAATTGTCGAATGTCTTGCACATTCATATCATGACTGGACGTTGGCTGGACAGTCAATTGTTCTTACTTCTCAGGTACTGGTTTCCTGCACATTCGAGGTTCCCTATTTTTATAGTATTCTGGTTCCAGATCGATAGGTTCCTACAACAATTTGTAAATTTTGGTGGAAAGTTCAAATTAGTGGTATTCACTGACTTCTCCTCTCAGTTCGCTAGAGACACTACACTTGGTTTCTCGCGGGCTACAGCAATCGCTCATGTTTCCGCGGGTCCCTTTGCAAAGGTGCACTGTTTTCGCATATCTTTTTTATAAGCATACTAAATTCTTTGTTACTCCAGTTGTGATTCTTATTGACGGAATGCTTTTTAGGACCTCATATACTTCACAAGTCCTATCGATCCAAACTGGCAACGATTTCTTCAAGACGTGACTCCCTCATTTCTGGTATGTGGACTGAGATGCATGTTGATGTCGAAATATATCATAAGTTTTTGATTTGCAGATGATCTCCACAGATAATGTGACAAGGGAGGCGTGCGCACAGGAGGATCTCGATATTTCTGCTCAACTCGAAACCATTGGTAGAGTTTCTATCTTCGTGTAGGCTTGTCCAGTTCACTTTTAATTGTCTGGTTCAAGTAAGAGAAAGATCGAATACTTTGAATATGTATTGAGTAACAGAATACATCATAGACTCATAGAAAAATTGTCGACGTGCAAATCTTTGTTTCTTTTATTTATATGTCAATGTATAATTTTAGTTCTCGACGCTTTGTCACAAGCAGTACCGATCGTAGTATTGACATCAGTTGTTGTTAATTTTTCGTCGGTTTCTGCATACTACATCGATCCACGCCTCTGTGTCAAGTATAACTGGGAAAGTTTTGCAGCAGCGCACTGGGAGTGCAACAGTGAGATACTTGTACTAAGATTTTCCAATGTTCATTTCCAGTCTAGCTGCTATTCGTTATAGACTAAAGTAGAATCACTGTTTTCAGGTTCATTGCTCAAATTGAGTAAAGCGCCTACTCATAATGCGTCTGCAATAAAGTCAGTAGGAGAGCTTTGGGCCAATATTATTCTAGCTGCTAAGAAGAGGTAATTGATAATTTGGAGGCTGTGGTTACCTTCTGGATGTGGCTCGGTGTTTTCTTCCTATCAACTTTTCATTTCATCTTTACAGTGGCACTGCGTCGGAGCATTTTGAGTCGCTTTGTTGCGCTGTTCTCCTTTCGGCTCTAGTGACGGGTAAACGTGGGCCATCACGTATCTATCTGCCTGAAAGAGAGGGCGCCAAACGTGGTCTGGATGTTATAAAAGATAGGCGCCTGCTTCTCACGACGGCGACTTCCTATTTGGAAAGATTGGATTATTCTGTAAGCTCTTGTAAACATATTATGTTGTTGTAAAAATGATTTTTCAATCTAGACGGTTAAATTCTCTTTCACGGACTTTTGGGATGGACGTATGGTCATCGGGATTTTCGACGCCATATGTGCTACCGATCCCGTGAGTGGAGCTGTTTTCCTGTTTAGTCATCAGATTGAGTTCTCATGTTTCAGGTACTGCCATATCGAATTCAAGAAGATTTTGCTCGTTTACACACTGCTGCATCCCTAACTTTACCTATCCCAACGGATACAGCGGAAAAACTCCTCGATCCACTGCCTGAGGTTATCCTCTTCGTATTTCGCTTGAATTCGGAGTCTTTTTTATGAAATGGATAGATTTTTTCAGGCTGAGAATCCCTTGTCCTCTCTTCCTCTCCTATATACCGTAAAGTCCCCTTTGGTGGATAGATACCTCCCGGAATTGAAAGCAGCTCGTTCAGAGAAACTTATAAGTGACGGACACACACCAGGTCTGGTTTCAAGTTTTTAAAGTGATTTAAAAAAAATTTACATTTTTGTATCGTCGAAACCACGTTTGAATGTTTCCCATTGAGCAAATCCTCTTCAGACTATGTAGCACTTTTGCAAGAGAAAATGTCATGGAAGTTGAGACCAATTGAGGAAGATTTCACAAAGACCGAGGTGATTACTGACGAGTGGCAAAAGAAAAAGGCAAATAAAGCTCGTCAATTTATGAGCAGATGGTAGGTCAGTAGTTGACTAGCTTTGACAGAATAATCATTTTTGTATCTCTAGGTATGAAATGTTTGCCAACTCATTGGAGGGCCGTGGGTCGAATCTGCTTGTGGATTTCTCTCGAATTCCAAAAGGATTCGCTCAAGCAGTACCTGACACACCAACTGAAAATGCGGCGAAGAAGGGTTTAAAGGGGTGGTCTGGACAGAAAGGTTGCAGAACACGCACGTGCTCGTTCTCTTTCGTGTAATAACTGCTTGTTATAGGTGGTGGCGGTGGAAAGAAAGGCGCTAAGGAGCCACCTAAATCGAAGAAAGATCTCATCCTCGAAGCTAACAAAAAAGCGAAGGACGTCAAGTTGATAGAAAGCGAGAAAAATAAGATCAAATTCGCATCGCAGCAGGGGAAGAAGGTCGGTCATGCAGGTTTCGATGTTCGTAGTTTAATTTACAAGTTGTTTTAGGCGGTCGTTTTCCTTGAGCGCACCTATAATGGACTGGAACTCCCGGAATCAAAGGCATTGTGTGCGTTCGAAGTTTTAGTGAGGATAGGTCGCGATTTACTGAGTCGTTTAACTGGACCAGAGAACTTGGAAAATAGGT